GTTTAGGGTTAAGGGTTTGGGATCTAGGGCTTCGGATTTAGGGTTTAGGGGTTTCCGAAATTCGGGGTACCATGCTTGGGGTCACTAGAACAAAATCTCAACCCCCGAGATCGCAAGAACCTGAAGAATTACCAATATTATGGTCTTAGCATACTTAGAGTAGATTTCCTTCTCCAGTCGATTCTCCATTATTAGGGGTGCTATCCCTATATAACCATTATATCAAGCCTAAAGAGCCCCTATATGCCCTCAACTCCCTGTACATCCCCAGCTGAAGGGTTCCTAACACGATGAGCTGAGGAAGTCGTTCGGGGAAACGGTGACTGGCACCCTGACTGCCGAGGCGTTGCCCAAATCCACGCAGTTCAGGGCTAGGCAGGAAAAAGTCAAGGTATAACCAGGTTGTAGCCTATGCCCCTCTAGTCCTTATTAGATATGATATCACTAATGTTTCGTAATATATACCGTTGACGCTTTAGTGGTGAGGGTTGGGGCTTGAAGGTGCTCAGGCTTTGAGGGTCGAGTTTAAGTGGGTTGGGGTTTAGGGCTTAGGGTCTAAGGTCAACAGCTTAGGGTTTTTTGGGTCGACAGTTTTCAGTTTAGGGTTGTGCTTCAAGATTCCGGATTTTGGCATGCAACACTTGGATGCCCTGATCAAGGGTTTCCAACGTCATGGGTCCACCTTTGAAGGTTTCAGAAGTTCCCCCTAAACCCTAAACCCAGACTGCATGCCCCTTTGGAGAGGTCCAAGCTTTTAGATCTCTTTGCCTTTCTACGTCTATGGCTTGTTCCCCCAACCCAAACATGAATCCCCTCCACGCGGTTTAAGGTTTAGGGCTCAGGGTTCAGGAGGGCAGTTCAGCAAAATAAGCCCCTGAAAACTCTGCAGCTGCCTGAACTCAGAGGACCTTAATGTAGGGCCTGAACAATTAGCAATGATACTTGACGTGCACCCTTATAGGAGTATAGTATAGTGCCTGAATAATTTGCAACGCTGTTCCCCAAGAATTCCTAAATGATTACATTAGAATTTGGGTCATCCCCCGCCTAGTTACCGTGGTTGATTTTTCTCAGAGCTTTAATAACTCCTAGTACCTTTTGTGGTAATTCTTACTTTAGGGGGCAATGACCCAAGGTATAAGATACCCCGGGACCAATGGAGCCATGGTCCTAAATACCTAAACCCTCAAAGAATTACAGTATGACATGCCCTAAAACTCTTAGAAGCCAAGGTTTGTGCTAACGTGCAGGCTGAGCGGCAGCTCTGGTAGAGTGACCTGGGAACTGGCTGCGACCCTGCGTTAATTTTTCAGAGCTGTATTGGGATACGGTTTAGGGCTTAGGGTTTAGAATATTATTGGGACTTGGCATCCAACACTATGTGGATCTTCGTTGTGAGTTTCCATACTCCGGAAACCTTGAGTGAGGAGCATGGCTGTCGCGCAAAGATCAGAATGAACAGGGAGTAGAAGTTACTACCAATGCCATACTAGGTCTCCTCCGCGACTTCTTCTTCTACTTCTTCCGTCTACTTCTGCTCTTACTACTATGCAGTGGTTTTTCGTGTTATATGCTTTGATCAGCAGTTCTGCAGTCCATTGTCTAGCCAGGGTCCAAGGAGATTGAACACGCCTGCGGCCAGAAAGGAGATGGGTATGTCTCCAACAAGAGAGTGGTTGCAAGGGAAGGGAAGTCATGACTCTCAGAATCCACCATCAATGTGCGGTGATTAGGTATCTTTTGCGTAAATCCTGCATTTCTGCAAACATGAACCCCACCAATAGAGGTTCCTAGATGATCCTCAAGAGGAACCAACTGTTCGCTTGCACTCCATGTATCGCATGGGTTTATCAGGGCTGCCTGCGCGTGAACAATTCCCCAAAATTAAGGTGTGCAAGCTTAAGCTCTAAACCCAAAACCCTAAACCCCTAAACCCTAAACCCCTAAACCCTAAACCCTAAACCCGTAACCCCTAAACCCCTAAACCCCTAAACCCTAAACATCAGTCCTTTGTAGGGTTCAGGGATTGCAGGGAACCGGGCTCCAGAGCTTTGGCCTTCCAAATTTTCTGGACAAGTTGCCGCATCTGCTGAAAGACAGCTAGCGGTTTAGGGTTTAGGGGTGTAGGGGTTTAGGGTTTAGGGGTTTAGGGGTTTAGGGTTTAGGGGTTTAGTGTCTAGGGTTTAGGGTTTATGGGTTTAGGGTTTACGGGTTTAGGGTTGAGGATTTAGGAACAAAGACAGCCCTGACAAGTAGTCAGTAGCCTTCACGTCTCTGAGATGTACCCAAATTGAAGCAGAAGAGGAATGGAATTGATCACGTTTTCCTTAAACTTTAAATCCCAGCTATACCGGCAGTACCAGCAGCTTAGGCCAGTTGGTCATGGCTAGTACGTACAACATCTTCAATTTCATGAGCACCTTCATGACTACTGCGTTCCATGACTCTGTGGCCTGACGGGTCTTTGTTGTTGGAGTCAGGGGGCGAGCATTGATGTCATCAATGGGAAGCAGTCCGCCTCTCATGGTAACCCCTTGTTCTTAGCATGGCAGACATGTGTAATGATGTCCCGTCCTCAAGCATCTTGCCGCAGTATAGGCCATGTGCCGCCGTCCATGCAGCTATGCCACGGAAAAGGCTTTGGCTTATCAAGCTGCCAAACTCCTGCTCCTGCTGCCAACCCTTCCTATACCCTATACCCTAAACCCTCATACCCTAAACCCTAGGCCCTAAACTCTAAACCCTAAGAGAGGCAATATAGTTGAATCCCTCCTGGTCCCCCAGTTCAGTTCTACTTCAAATGGAGTGGCGCTGCTGGATGGAATGCATCATTAGCTTGGTAACGCTCAGGAAGCGACAAAAGATCTCAGAGGTTTGCGTACCCAAAGCGTGCAATGGCCACATTTTACGTCTGGTTGCTCTTAAACTCCTGCACTACACCTGGTTCCGTGATCGAGAAGAAGGGAATTGCGTCGGACAAGCGAGGGTGTCAAAGCAAAGGCAATCCATGCACTTGCTGGTTGTTAGTTGGGAATGAAGGACTTGAGAAGAAAACATTCTCTACTACAGCCAAGAAATACATAGCCCTCGGTTTAATCCTGTTGGTTGGCGAAGCCTAATGTACATGCCGAAGAATTCAGGTTGCAATGTACTCATAACCCTAAACCCTAAAGTCATGTATTTGGTTTTCGACCCTTTGGTCGGATACGTTAGCTTTTCAACCCCCACCGCAGGGACCACACTAGGACCTGTGGTCTGTTCTCGACTTCCCTCAAGAATGGAAAAGGATGGAAGCTGGGGGATTATATAGGGGAATTGAAGGTCTAGACTAAGGCTTATGTATGTCGAAGGTGTTTCAGGTTCCATGCCTTGCCTACTACAGGGCAGTTTGACATGGGCGTGATGACATTCTACGACCGCCGTAGTTCGTAGCTTTGGGATAGAAGTTGCCTCCAAACCAGCTTCTTGCGTTACGGTTGGACGAAGGCCCCTTTATGTATGTTACAACTACCCCTGATTTGCTGAGCCACATGCCACATGTGTGATTGCAGCAGCTGCTTAGCAGGTCTGTGTTTTTCTTAAACCAGCACCTTGATCCTTGACTCGAGCCATTACACCACAGTTTTGAGGACCATAGGGTTTAGAGTTAAGGGTTTAGGGAAGACGGTTTACGTAGCTTATTTAGTAGTATCCACATTTATATTCCACAGCCCTATAACCCACATGCACATATATAGACCCTCCAACCGCCAATCTGCGGGGGAAGCCTCACAGGCTGTTCCTTCTAGGCCTTTAACCCTAAACTGTTGAGCTACATGGATTTCGGGTTTCGGGTGTGGGGGTACTGAAAACCCTGCAGGGCTCTCAGTACCACCTCCCAAATTGTGGCATTATGTCCGAGAAATGTCATGTGGGCAGTTCCCAAAATTGGGGTCCTATTTTGGAACAACCCATCCGCAGGATTTCGAGTATCAGCAGTAGCTTGGAATGACCCTAAACCCTAAACCCTAAACCCCTAAACTCTAAACCCTAAACCCTAACACCCTCAACCCCCAAACCGACCTGTGCTGGCCAGTCGCTGATCCAGTGAGAGCTGTCGACTTCGCGAATGACCCGGTGGCTGTGGTTGAGGCCCAGGAAAGTACTGTTTAGGGGTTTCGGGTTTAGGGTTGAGGGTTTAGGGTTCAGGGTTTAGGGATGTTTAGGGTATTTTTCAAAATCATGGGTACCCTTCTTGAAGGGCTCTAAGCTCCATTCAGCGGTATGGAAGGAGACCTCGATCTTTGATGATTGCTGCTCTGTGTCAGTTTGTTCTAAAACCCTGCTGAAGTTGTTAGTTGCAATACCACAGTCATCATTGGGTGGCCCCCGCAACATGAGCACTTCCCAAAAACTGTATCCCACCTGCTGCTAGGACCTCCCAAATCGGACGGCTGACTTTTGTAGCCCCTATGTCATGGCTTGCGGTTTAGGATCTAGGGTTTAGGGCCAGTGTGCAGCGCGCTCTGGCGTGTAGGTTGATGGTGTACTGCATTCTCCCGGAATGCTTGAATGCTTGCACCTGGGAGGGGCGACCATTAACTTTTACCTCCAAGGCCCTTGCCCCTTAGGCTCCCATCAAGCTCTTTGTGTTGTCGCCAGACAATCATCAGGTGAGTCGTGATTCGAAGAAGGGTGCCAGAATCCGTAGTGCGAGCTGTCAGAGTCCTTCTTCGCCTCAAACTCCAGCAGGGTTCCAGTTATTTCCGTATGGTTGTTTTGAAGATCACCTCCTTGGTGAGAAAGGCTTCGCAATACCCTGAAAGTGACGTGTATTTACTGGGGCCTTGTAGGGACTGTCCAACGCATAGAACCCTTCCTAGATCTATAGGATCTAAGGTTTAGGGTTGAGGATTGCAGATTTAGGGTTTAGGGTCCCGGGAACGTTTCAAGTTGGACAAACCCTTCTGCCATCCTCCGAGAGTGACTCCAGATCCTGGCTTTGAGAATTTTGTGATTCAGTCTCAAACCCTTAACTGTTAGGGGTTAGGGTTGAGGGTTGAGGGTTGAGGGTTTAGGGTCCAGGGTTGAGCCCCTACGAACTTCTTAAAACCTGAGAGGCATGCTGATAGTCCTACCGAAGCGGTTGAAAAAGCCCGAAAAGTTCCTAAGCAGCCTGCTAGGTACACAAGGCCAATCTGGTAAAACCACCCTAAGCCCTGAACCCTAAACCCTAAGACCTAAACAGTAAACCCTGAAGCGTAAACTCTAAAACCTAAACCCTAAAACCTAAACCCTAAACCCTAAACCCTAAACGAAAAATCCCAAACCCCAAACTCCTGTT